CACTCGGGGCACGGGTGTCCCAGTCGTCTAAGGCGATTCGCTGTGCAGAGTTGCATCCCTTCGACACGCCAGGAACCTGTAACACAATTCGATTTCCGGTTCGCCCCAATTATGTTTCTAGGTTTGTCAGCACCATACCCGTGCTCGCGGACTTCACCGAAGTGATAAACGTCTGAGACCTGCATCACTTCGGGCTTTCCTCCTACATTAGGCTGACACGCCATGCTTTTAATGGAATCGTGTTAAAAGCGGCGTTAAACCCAACTCACTCACTCTTAGCCGCAATCATACATTTCAGCAGTCAGATCAACGTAGGTAAATATATAATGTAATTACAATTAAATTTGAACAGATCCTACAATGTGTCTGTAGTTGAATACAATAAGTTGTTAATCATAACTTGATCGTTCTTTCCCATTCGACCGTCTCTGTGGTCTAGTGGTAGAGTGTCCGCCCGGAGAGCGGAAGGTCCCGGGTTCGATCCCCGGCCGCGTCATACCAAAAGACGTTAAAAAATGGTACTTGTTGTTATCCTGTCTGGCGCTCGGCATTAAGGGGCTAAAACAAGGACTGGTCGGCTCAGAGTCAGTATACTGTGTCTGAATGGGGTATTCATGTTAAACTGCGGCATGGTACCTCAGTGAGCTAGCACAATAAATCGGCTACAGTTCGGACTATTACAAGCTGCCACACACACACACAGACACACACGTGCATGCACGTCGCAATAATCTTGGACGCGACGTTAAACCAAATTTTACCTCATTCACAGATGCGAACGGGACTTCCTGCATCGGCGTTCATCCACAGTGATCACGTGACATATCACTTCCGATGTTAAGCGTGTCACTGGATTTAAAGCTGCACTCTGAATGGAAGATGTGAGGGACATATATTATAGCAATGAAGAAGACGCGTTTGCTACTATGGCAACAGCATAGGTCCGGTGAAGTCAATCGTTACTTGATAACTGATGTTGGGACCTGTACTCACACATGGTAACACGTGTAGATAGGCTATGTGGGCATTCTTCACACTGATATGGAAAATTTAAACATTGCCTCGATCACGTATGTATGTACTGTAGCGATCCAGAGCTTACCGATTGATGAAAGCCATTGTGACCTACACTCGTGGAATTCTATTTGTGACCAATTCCTTCGCTCGTGCAAAATATAAGACGTACCTCTATGATCTATTCGATGGTGAATATTAACGATGTCTTTCTTCCTGGTTTTCTTGTCGAATTTGCTGATGGTAACTAATACAATACTACCATGTCTTCAGAAAATATGGCATGAATAATTTTCAATAATATGTCTAACGTCTTTACCGTGAGTAATCAAATAAAGTAGGTAAGGCGTGATGGATTCCGCCCTTGGTTTCTCGCCATGGTGCATTCATTATATATATATATATATATATATATATATATATATATATATATATATATATATATATAAGACCAGTATTAGGGAGACCGATTATATTTAAAAAACAGCATTAGGGAGACCGCAGACTTAGGGAGACCGATGCCCGGTCTCCCTAATTTTCAAGCAGTCGGGAATTGCATCAAACAGTGCTCCTTTCCTATTACCTTTGGTTTGTTTTGTTCATTTTAACATTTACTTTAACATTATCAGACGAAAGTATCTATTTGATAACATTTAAAGGCCATATGTCGATGAATAACGACAGTCGCATATATATATACATGTATTTAAACTTACGCTTTAAGGCGACCGTTTCAAATGGCAAATAAAAGCATTATACTGATATATATGGATCTATTAGTACCAGAGTATTATACAAAGTGTTTTCAACCTCAATTATTGTCAGGAAAACATGACTATAAGCTATTATTTGTCGAAAACGAAAAAATCGGACCGTGAAGCGGTGCTGTGGTGCGCGACTCGAGATCTGTGTCAGCCCAGCACCAGACTTTCTTTCCGACAAATATTTCACTGAAAAATCAAACCTGAGACGAATTTTTATTGTTCGATCTAAAAATCATAACAACGACCAAGACAATTAACTAATCGTTGGTTCGTCCTATATTTATTACTTTAGAGATAGTTTGTGCGGTGCTCAATTTTAGATTCGGCGGCCATTTTAAATCTACATGTACCATGCTGCCTTTGCTTCGATCTGGCTACTTGTGCTCAGCCGTCTTTTACGGAGAATACTAAAAGGGACATGTTGCCCATTTGTCCCGCAATCTAAATATTTGGAGGTTTTGTGTTGAGTTGGCTGATAATCACCAAGTCATCAGCTTTCGGTCAGTACTTTCACGAGAGTTAGGCCTAGGTAAGTTACAAATTTCGTTCACTGTGGCATTCACGCGGTGATGTCTCGATGTATTCGGCAAGGGTGCATTTCATAGGTGCAGCCCCAAACTGCACAATGTATGATGGTACACCAGTAGGTCTATTCAGTTTCTTGACTCACGCGTCAGTCACCCGCAGTCACTGCAAATATAAATGTTATAGCCTAATGATTTTATGTTTATTTTTATTTTTTCGGATAGATCTAGGCCTAATAGGTTTTCGGACATTGTACGTTTTCGGACGGCCATGTCTATCGCGATTATTCGCGTTATAAATAAGGGTTGTGGCGACTCACATACATTGTAAATACCCAGATGAATTTTCGATAAAGTTGTCTTCTATAATCGAGTGGGAAGTTTTACAGTTATTCTTGTGAATATCGAGAAAACTACGTATGTTCTTAGCGTTCGAAAACCCATAAAACGGGGATATGAGGGTAACCATGGTAATATGTGTAAAGGTTCTCCTGATGGCCTACACATCGGGAATAAAATGAAGAAGAATATGATAACGGGGGCAGAATGTGAACATGGACCAAATAGACAACTTTACTCAAAATATTATCTTTTTAACAAAGATTTTCATGCAAGCACAAGGACCCCACATTTTTGTTTTGGTAAGGACTTTGAAAACCCTGGTTAGAATAGGTCTTCAGCACTCCATGCTTGTCATAAGAGGCGACTAACAGGATCGGGTAGACTAAAATCTAGTCTCTGAAATGAACATATCGTACATAAAAAAACAGTTGTTCAGTTATCTTAATAAAAATATAATAAAAAGGAGCCCAGTGACTCTCTTCATCCTGATACTTCAGTGATCTAGATTTGCCAAACATTATAGACTTGCATGGGCTGTATTTGATATATATTTGTATCAGGGTCTGTAAGACAGACTAAGGATCGGGTGGTGAGGCTCACTGATTAGGTTGATGCATGTCATCATATCCCAACTGCTTGGTTTGATACTCATATCAATCAATCAATCCATACATGATTATTTACAGACCACCGCCATATTGCTGAGAGCGGCATTAAACTACAAACATATCAAATAATTTACCATGCTCAAAATTACTTGTAAACTTAACAAATTAGAGAACTTTATATTTCTGTCCTAAATGAATGTCAGGTACTCCATTCACTATTATCCCAGCTAACAATTTCACATTGTGGGAACGTTGTGTTTACGTTGTGGTAACGTTGCAGATGTTACGTCCATATAACGTTATTCTGTAGACTCCCATCTATGTTGTCACAACGTCATGGCCTAACGTTGTGTTACGTCATATTCACGTCGTCACAACGTTGTGATGACGTTGTATTTTACGTTGTGGGAATGTTGTATTTTTACGTTGAGGGAACGTTGTATTTTTACGTTGAGGGAACGTTGTGGTTATGTTGTAATTTACGTTGTGGCAATGTTATAATAATGCGTCCCTACAACGTTATTCTGTGTACTACCACGGACGTTGTCACGACGTGAAATAACTTTGTGTTACAAGAATGAAATACGGTTGTGACCATTCCACACTAAAATGTTGTAAAAACAACCCCCAAAAATGTTTAAGAATATGCTTTAGTCACGTGAATGTGTATGATTCGAGATACCTTTTACCAATATTTTAAAACCAGGGCGTCGAATAGCCCGGTTAACAGTGAGTAAGATCGTGTTTTGCTAACAATGTTCAAAATGTTAAAACACCACTGAGCTGTTAACTAGATACATGATTTGACTATAACTAAGTCAGACACCATTACCCTTTAGGCTTGTACTGAAAGAAACAAAAAAAAAATGGCAGACAATGTACATGATGTAAGGGGTTGACCATGTGATATTTTCTGGCGAGAGTTGGGAAAGAGAGTTAAAGAAAATCATATACAGTCAAGTCTCGTTAATCCGACACTCGTTAATCCGACACAAATGATGGGAACTGATTGATTCAGCGCTATTTAGTCCCGTTAATCTGACATTCTCGCACTCCGACTCCGACACACCTAATTTGCAACGAATTACCGAAATCACTCATTAATCAGTCTCGTTAATCCGACACAGTGGTCAGCAGCGTACTCCGTGGTCATCTGCCCGCGAGTACACAACCCCGTGTTTTGACACGCACTGGCTGCAGAGATTAACTTTAACAATTAACACTAGATGCCGGGATCATAAAGAATTTCAAGCTTTATTATAAGAAACAAATGAAATTACAACTCGACAATATTGATGCTGAAGAACCACCAGCCCTAGACGTCAAGCGAACAGGGGACTTCAAAATGTGAGAAACAGAAAACACTGACAGACTATTTTAAGTAGATGAAGCAAGTTGTTAAGACAGTAGCATTTGCATTTACACTAAGAAACACACGGTTATTATCTATCGTGAAGATGTCCGATTTTCGATCACAAATCACTCAATTTCGTTAATCCGACATACTCGTTAATCCGACACAATCATGTGCAACCAACGATGTCGGATTAACGAGACTTGACTCCATCTGCTTTTGTAGCTGTGACCGAAAACATATGTAATCTCCATAGAAAAGTTCTAGGTCCCCACCTCCTTGAATATTAAATGGTCGGTCTCTAATCAAGTCCATATAGTATACTTCAACTTTCAGTCATGCGAAGTCACCATTCAACAAAGAACTCCAAGACACATTTGCGTTGACATTTTAATATTTTTAGATTATAGAAAATGTATACACTTTTCGAAATTATTGAATGCCAGAATCTTCTTTCTTTGGTGTTCACTTCCACTTCCCTGAAATACAAACAGCTTAATGAATCTCGAGCAGGTATATGAAAGATTTCATATGACAAGAAACATTCATTTGGAGATAAGGTTTTATCAATGTTCAAACAATAATGTATAATTCAAGTGACTGATGGAAACAAATTTTAACATTCATTCAGAGACACCAAGAATCAGGTTGAATACAAAACGTGGTACTAGCATAGATTTAAATAAATAGATCTACATTCTTAGCATTCATTTCAAGCACAAAAAAACACACCAATTAACATGGATATAGACAATGGAATGTAACTGTAAACAATTGTACTTACGTTAACATAATTCACAGCCCAGGGTTTATTTGGTGTGTTCCTCAATGATTCAACATTCTTGATTTTATCTCCTGGAATGGTCGTGTAACATTTTCCCCCTTGCTGCAACGAAAACATATTAAAAAAGTCAAAACTAAAACTATATTCAATAAGCATACATTTAGATCTGTAGTCTAAACAAGAAGATAACATACATTGTATAATTGCCTAAAATTTAGGAAAACTGTAAATCTAAAGTCTTCATGTATAAGGTCCGATCGGAAATAAACTCAGGCTACAGATATAAGTAACAAAATTATGAGTACCATCATAAAAAAAACCACCTAATGTAATTTGGTTTTACATATACACCGGTCTGACAAACCGGTCAGGCAAACCAGTGATTGTTTTAGTGAGCCACGTCTCACAACCTCTGTCAGAGTACAATGACACACAATCATGTTAGTACAAATATGGTTTGTTGGGGACCTTTTCTAAACCGGAATCCAAACGGGAACATATATATAAGACAGGCATTGTAGCTAATAACGACTCACATCTTCATCGCAGCGTTGTTTATATAGATCTAGCTACAGTACGATTTCGTAGCGAGCACAGGAACTTACTCGTTCAGTTTTCGATCACCATTTTATTCTCTCTCATTGCCAAAAAGCTTCAGAGAACCAAGTATCATATACTTACTACGTTTATTAACATAATACAGTTCAATATCGTTAAATATAATTCTGTAGTATGGTAGCCTACCTGGCAACATACGGAGATCGAAAACCGAACGAATATGGTTGCTATCAATTCCATTGTATTTTTCATTGGTGCACATTGACTAGATCTACACCTATCTCACCTTAATAATCAACCAAACGATGACCAAATCACTGACAATGTATGGTGATATTTAACTTTTGACTATCGACTAGCTTATCATCACCAGCGAGGACAATACTGCAAACACCCCGTTATAGCACGCGATGAGACTCGTTTTACTTTTGCTCGTTTTCATTAGAAGGGAGTCGGACATAGATCTAGTTATCGGAAAATGATGAATTGATTCTTTTTGGGGGAAATATTAAAAATACACATGATAAGCGCCTTGCTCAAATAAACTTTATAGACAGCACCAACAACCATATGATCCACATTTAGGCTACTTCAGTCAGTGCTAATTGGGCCTTTTCGGGAACAACAAGTATGTTTCTGTCTCTTCCCAAAAATACAATTTTTCATAACATCATTGAGGCCTTTAGACTAGGGCTATAACTAGCAGCCTACAGAGAGTCGATCTGAAAATACTTCCATTGTTTTGATTCCCTCTCTTCGCTGTATAAGAGAAATCTACTCAACCTTTCCCATGGCCTGAATGAGCCACATTGTTTCACAAAAATCAAAGTCAGAATATTAGTACATGTAAACTTTCAGATTTCAGAAATAACACGGAAGAAATGGCAATAACTGTCAGTGGTCAGTAGGCGATGCATACGTTAGGCCTGTTTAGGCCTATTTAGGCCTACAGACCTTATACACTTACGATCGAAACCCGAACATAATATGACGACCACAAAACGCCGCCAGACTGAATTCTGGTCAAACATATACTGCTTGCCCTTGGTAATTTCCCTTGGTATCCATAAATTAATATGGTAAAATGTCATGGGCTTCCTTCACCTCTATATTCATCACGTTCTGTGTATCAAATATTACTATCAACACTGACGCTCAGCTCAGTGAAAGTGACCGGCAAACTGCATTCTTAACCCCGCAACTTCTGAATAATATGATACATTTAAATCATTTGACTATCTGCATGTACAGAAACATATCAACAAGCGGAGACTGCTTTTGAAAAATAACTTACCTTATCCGAATTCACAGATCATCTGTCCAGTTCCCGTTGCTGCACAATCACTTGGTTGTAATATATCCAGAGTGAGCTTGAACTAAGATGGCTGGTGAAAACAAATCTTCCGCGACAATGTGACGTCATTTTGACGTCACTTCATGAGGCAACAGGCAACTTTTCAGCAGTCGCTCTCATGCCGCAAAAAATGCGCGCCAATGTGTTTTTAACTGTAATTTTACTTGTGACAACATTTAGTAGACAGATAACTTCCTTCATAGATATATATGTTTAAAAAAAATAAAACTACGAGATGGTAGATCTACAAGTGGTTTCCTAAACATCATTTACAAAAAGTGTTGTAATGTCCAAAGCATAACGTTATTACAACGTTAATTTGCAATGTTGTTGTTACGTTGTGGAATAACGTTACAATGTAACGTAATACTAACGTTGTAATAGAGATACGCAATTACGTTCTGGAAATTTTAGTATTAAGAGAGGAAAATTCAAATGCCGAATATACAGAAAGGTAATTCATTACTGCCTTGGTATTCTGACAAATCCATGTTGATTTTGATAAAGCAGTTCTATTCCTTTATGACTATCAAGAAGCAAACGTTATAACGTTTCACCGACGTTTCAGAAACGTAGTTACAAAACGTTGTGCGATGTCCGATGCACAACGTTTTCACAACGGGAATTTGCAACGTTGTTATAACGTTGTGAAATAACGTTGCATGTTGACGTTATAATAACGTTGTGACAACGTTATTTCACGACGTTACCTATCCACAACCTTTCCACAACGTTGTGACAACATAGTGTGTTAGCTGGGATGTAAGCAAAATACTTAATCAGGTAACGTTTTTCAGCTGGAATGATGGCCGCCTCAATTATTCTGTGTATCATCTCCATACTCCATACTCTCCGTACACATTGCCATCGCTTTGTTGATACACTGGAGATATCGAGGATGGTACAGTACATAGTTTCCAGATTCTCATGCTGGTTGTACAGTGTCCACACAATGGAGTCATTGGTCAGGCTCATAACTTGGTTGAGCATTTGTATTATTCCACAATGACGGCAAGGATCATTCGATTCCCAACATGGGTACAGTATGTGAAGCCGATATGTTTCCTGCCGTGATATTACTGGAATATTATTGCTAAAAGTGGCCTGAAATCCAATTCACTCAGTCTCACTCACTCTACAGCCATGAAACTTTACATTTACATGTATCTTCATGGATTTATCTAGACTTGCTCAGATTTGGGGCAATGGCCCCAAGTTTGAATACTATGACGTTTTGGTAAAAGATCTGACGCAACAACTGCTCTTTATCCTAATGGCTCTCTTTTTACAATTCTTATTTTGATACAAGTGCAGGAACTTGAAAGTTCATTTGCAAAAAAATGTATTAACAAGCGTGTGCCTGAATCTTGAAGTGGTAAACATCTAAGATCTGCATTAACTTTCAACCAGGTCATTGTCATCTTATTCCAATAATGATATGATATAACTGGAATACTGTTCAAAGATATGTTAAACCTAACTCAATTACTCACTCGCTCTATTTCCAATAAGTTAAATAGTCAACTATTTTTAAAACGAACATGCTTATAAGGAACTGAGGAACATATAACGAGCATATGTTTTAGTCCTAAACATTTGTTGTATAAATGCTGAATATAAACTCGTAACAAACTATGGTTATTACAAACTAAAATTAGTGCTCCCTTCAAGTTCGTTATAACAGTTTACTGTATGCTATGTTTTTGTTATGAAAATCAAATTCCACCAGGGGACATTATGTTACATGCCGAATAGCACTTGCAATTTATATTGAATTCACTCTCAAATTCATCTTCGTGATAACTCAAGAAGTGTTTATTTTAGTAAGATGAAATCTGGTGCATATTTTCCTAAGTTTGGGGCATTGAAGTGTTAACTTTTTAGTGATCCTCAGTAAAGATCACTATTTTGGCGTTCTTTTGTTAGTACGCCTTCTTTGTGTACTGAACCAATCCCTTGTGTTTGTGAGACATGTTTGCAAGCGCTAGAACCCATGGTAATGAAGCATGTGGTTGGCTGAAGAGTGATAAGGTCATAAAAGGTGAATGTTATGTGTACTCAGTCTCAGATAATTGGAGGCATTCACCATGATTCACACTGCATATAACATGTATTTCCCCAACCGGATGTGATATCATTCAACAACTTCCTTATTAAGGTTTAGGTAACTAAAGGAATGATACTTTCTGGTATAACATTATCTTAACTGATAATCATCCTAAATTAACACTACCCTGGGTGATAATAAATGTGCTACTCTGTTCCAGATTTATGACATAACATTTACAAGATTACTGACCTGTGTTTGGCATTTTTTTAATATGCAGGTATGAAGATTATCGTGTGTAGTTGTGTTGTGAAATAAGCCGTATGTAGATTTAGCTATTCACACAATTTTTCCTGTGATCTACTGGTGAATCCGTTTACAATATACTATAAGATAACTTTAGAGAATCTTAATGCAGATGTCAGAAGAAATTATATCTCAAACAATCATTGTACTAGGAATAATGTATTTTAATGGCTTGTTATTTTAGTTGCTGCTTTCACCATGATCACTGTAAATAATCGCAAGGGTAGCACTTTTGTGTATTAGGGGTTATTTTTAACATACTGACCCATTTAACAAGTCACCATTAGAGATCAACAAATCAGGGATTGCGACAAGGCTTACTGGGGTCTTGCTTTTTTGAACAGGTTGGTTTGTTGGTTTGTTGTTTAACACCGCACTCAGCAATATTCAAGCTATATGACGGCGGTTTGTAAATAATCGAGTCTGGACCAGACAACCAGTGATTAATATTATGAGCATCGAACCACGCAATTGAGATTGATGACATGCATCAACCAAGTCAGCGAGCCTGACCACCCGATCCCGTTGGTCGCCTTTTACGACAAGCATAGTCACCTTTTAAGGCAAGCATGGGTTGCTGAAGACCTATTCTACCCCGTAATCTTCACGGGTCTTTTGAACAGGAAAACAATATATTGACTTTTTTTAAGAATCAAGCTGCCATTCTCTTTGTCAACTGAGGTTTGTTATTCTTTTGTCAGTCAGGGTGTGAATATACATGATATAGTAATAATCTGACCGTGGCTGCTGAAAATAATGGGAAGTTGGTGCCATGTTCTGATCTGTTCACTTGCAAATTTCCCAAAAATAATGTAAACAAAGTGTTATCTTATCTAACTGGCAGTGTTTGAAATAAGTGCCTGTCCATAGGCCTGTGGCAGTCTTGCATTTTATTTTATTTCATACACTTGGCACTCACTGATCACCAAGCTATACTCAAAAGTTCCTGTGACACCAATATTTTAGTGTATTATTCAAACAAGTAAAGTTTGCTTTTCAATATTGTAGTACATGTATGCAATCAAGTCACAAAAACGCAACTGCTACAGTAAAGCATGCATTCCATGTAAAAGTTTACTTTTATGCAAGCCCCATGCATTTCACTACCCAAGAATGGGTATAAAAACATGTGCGTTAACAGGATTCCATATGCATTGTTTAGCATCGTGCTGACAACAACCACTCAGAAAAACAACAAAATTACGCAATTATTCAACATTACAAAATGCAACGCCTGTCCGAAAATGAGCGCCTGCTAGCCATTGGTATGCTTGTAGCATATGCTTGTATGCTTGATGTTGCAAGACAATTTAACGTCGATTTTGGTGTTTATGGCAACATTGGCAACAGACGAATGCAACCAGAGACCATCCACGGAGTGGCAGGTCACACGTAACCAATAATCGACAAGACAGCTGGATTCGAACAACACACCTACGAAATTCCAGCCAGCAACAGTGACTGCAAGAAGCATCCCTGGCCTTCGGCGAATATCTTCACAAACCGTATGTTGTCTCATCAGATGTGCAGGGATTGTCGCCAGAAGACCTGCCAGACGTCCCATTTTGACAGGAAAACACCGTCAAGCACGACTACAGTGGCGTAGACAGCGTCTATGCTGGACGGCCATGCAGTCAGGAAAAGATCTATTTCCTGGCGAGTCTCGTTTTCACCTCAGCAACAGCGATGGATGGATTCGAGTGTGCTGACCTCGAGGCGAACGTTACGGCAATCACCAATTGAGCACATGTGGGATGAGATGGATTGGCGCCTTCGACGTCAACCACGTGTTCCACAGATACTCCAGGAACTTCGAAACATACTCCAGCAGATATGGACAGATATCCCACAGGACTTTGTGCGACGCCTGGTCCTTTCCATGAGACGAAGACGAAGACGCTATTGATTTATAAATTGACATTTTCGCATGTTCATGTTTTTTATGAAATCATGCAAGTCAGTATGGCAAATTAAACAATTTGAACACTTACAGGAGTCTTTTAACTGTTGCAAACCGAAATTGTTTCAGATTTGGTAAAAAATATAACTTTGCATTAAATCTTATTCAATGTCACATGAACTTTTGTTGTTCAGTATATGTTTGCAATGTGCATGGAGGGTTAAGACAGTGAGCATCGTGAGAGGGCCAACAAGCAAAAGTATGAGGAGGGCACTTGAAACATGGTGTTTTTTTATTTTTCCATTTCAAGTTCCTGCCATGTTACCTTTCTTACTTGGTACAGGATGCTTATAAGAATTTAGTGCAGATTGGTCTGGAAGTTGGTGAGAGGCAATTATAGGGAGAATCATTTTAATGTGGCAAATACACTATATCCTGATAGTTCTCACTGCCACAGTCCTAGTACCATGTTCTTAAGTTATGGGTACAATGTGTGACGTCATTTCTGGTGTACCCCCGTCGTAATATGGCTGGAATATTGCTAAAAGCGGCATAAAACTTTACTAACTCACTCACTTTCTAAGGTAAACTATACAAACAATTTCTAACTGTTTTGTATGGTTCTTTTTATCCCCCACCCCAACAGAGTTTTACGTTTCCATGGCAACAAGTTGAACTTAGAAAACAATAAGGGTAGGGTTCGATTCCGGATGAAATATTCCACATCTATCAGACACATTCTTTAGCTATTTATGGGAATTTTTGAAATTTGTATTACTGGGCATCATTTCCAGAA